ACATAATTTTAACTAACTATCACTTTATATCATCTATTTCATACTTTTACATCAAACCAACTTTAATTATTTATTTTAAATATTATTTTAATATAAATTTAAAATCCCACTAACAACTAACTATTGACTAAAAAACTCATTTTGAGGGAATTATTGATTTACGCACATCCTCTGTATCCCACCTTTCTATTGGATACAATATCACCACATTTACCTACATGTGTTAGTGACTAACTTAACCTTCTTTAAGTACCAAAAACCTGTTCATCCACCAAATTTGTTATTCGGCTCGAAATTGTAAAAATCTCATAGATCTGAGCGATGGATGCCTCTCATTTTCTGCCCCTCTTTAATGATTGTGGCGACGAACGGAGGGGGATGCCGGTGAACGGATAGGGACACTGGGTGAATTAAAACCACAACAAAAAATGGCTCATTTTATGCCGCTTTTGTTTTCTGTGCATCTATCTCCTTTTCGTTTGTGATTAATACAACTAGTTTTCAGCCGTAGATCTTAGATGTAATTATATCTTGCATATGTCACTCCATTCTTCTTCTTCTTTTATTTATTTATTTTTTCTTCTTAGATATATGCACTTTAAGATTATTTGTTGTGATATAAACTCAAATTCTTGTTTTTCATCTCGTGTCACACTTTCAAGATGCACAAAAGCACTTTAATTATAGTCTTCATACAACTATCACTTAATGAAGGCTTCAATGCCCACTTCATAACTCCATAAATAATGGAGATGAAGTGACAACACCACCACCTTTAAGTAGATGTTACCAATTGATGCAATATAACATCAATTAAAAACAATACTCCCACTCAGCCACTTAAGCTGAGACTATGACAATAAATCTTTATTAGCAAACCTCTTGCCTCATACGGGTAATAGAACGTGCGACCAGAAGAAATAATAACAGTATTATATTAAGTCACCATCTAACTAACATAACACTTTCATACTTACGACAACATCTAAGTATTCAAAAATCGCCAATAGCATACACATTCCCTAGATGCTATATAAACAACATGATTATATTCAAATATAACAGCCCGAACTAATGTGGTGAAGTTGAATCAGTTATTTCTTAGATACTAATGAAACTTTATCTCAACTTAGTTGCTTTCCTAACATGCTCCGTTGAAATGTATCGATCATAGCTCTTGGAGGACATATTAAAGTAGT